AGCTCAGCTTGGAGGTGAGTAGTGCAGCACGCATGGGGGGGAGCATGGGGGGGTTCTGCATGCATGCGCATGTGGGGGCATGCTTTGCATTATGGGTGCTGATAGGCTATTGCATGCACACCCATCGCATTTTTGGCACTCAGCAACAAAAAGGTTAGCCATCACTGTCCTATGCTATCTTGTCCAAGCTGACTTAATAGAAGAGGGAGGATGATTTAAAGCAGGGGTGTCAAACTCGAGGCCTGGGGGCTGGATCAAACACAACTCTGATGCGGCCCCCAACCACTGTTCCCTCTAAGGTGCGCGGCTGCACGGCCACGCAAGTGGCAAGAAAACACCGCGCAGCAATTTCTAACTGCCGCGCAGTGATTTCTGTCACAGGCTCCGGAAGCTGAGGGGCCTCAGAAAATCTAGGATTAGCACGGGCGTGGGGATGGCGGCAGGAGCTTAGGCGGCACAGCCAATCTCCTAGGTCCTCCTAGGTGCCGGCTGCGCCGCTCATTACCGTCAGTCGCCCCGTGTTCAGCAAAGAAAACGCGGGGAAGTCCTTTGCAGGTGGCTAGAACTGGCCACCCGCAAAGGACCTCCCCAGACTTGTTTTGATGAGCACAGAGCAACTGATGGTAGTTTGCACCAGCTGCGGCCTCTCAAGCTAGTGTCAGTCGCCCCATGTTCAGCAAAGCAAGCCCGGGGAGGTCCTTTGTGAGCGGCCAATCCTAGCCATTTGCATCCGGTGCTGCGGCTGAAGTGAACTCCCAAAGCCCCCACTGCCACCGAAATATCTGTTGCTGCCTCCTCCTCCTCCTCCAACAGCACTGCCGGATTTGCCACCCAAGGTGAAGCCGCCAAAGCTCCTGGCACCCCCACCCATGGCAGTGGTGCCTCCCCCTCCACGCGGAGCACCTGAGCTGGGCCCTGCGTTATCCCTCCCCCTCCTCCTCCGCCGTGTTTTTGAGGCTGCGGGAGCCAGTAGGAAGGCGGCGGAGGGGGCGGGAGCAGGAAAAAAAGGCCTCATGGCTTCTCAAAAGCATGGTGGAGGAGGAGGAGGCGGCGGCAGGGGTAACACAGAGCCCA